CGCTCAACGTTCTTTGTCCGAGCATAACAATTTCAAAGCTATGGTAGTTGCCGGCTCCAAAGGGTCCAAAATTAATATTTCACAGGTAAGGCTGTAGAAATTTCAAGAAATTTGAAATAAAACACGTGGGCGGGGGAGGGGGAGAAAGGGGAGGTAAAGGTACCATGAAAATTATGAGGACTGTCGAAGTGATAAACTACGGATGCTACTGCGATGCAGTTGCGGGACAACTTAGACAGTTCTTCTGTCTTGGACAGTTTTTCCTCGAGATTTTGTTGAAATTTTCCATTTTCTGTCTTTCCAAAAGAACTTGAAGCGATAATTTCCTTTTTCTGTGGTTCTGTCAGAAATTTCCTACTGTAATTTTCAAAGATGGTGCTTAGTGAATAAAAGACATGATTACTTTCTTGGACCTGGTGGAATTGCTCCGAGAATAGGTCAAATGTAAAAACTATTTGCCAAATAAGATGCCAGAAAATGCGTTATTTTTTCTTTTACTTTTCAGGTTATAGCCTGTGTAGGTCAACAGAACGTTGAAGGTAAACGTATACCGTTCGGCTTCCGTCATCGCACGTTACCACATTTCATCAAAGATGATTATGGACCAGGTAATCATTTTGCTGCATAATTTTATTAGCTGTAGCAGTTTATCGTAGCGGCTTGGGCGTGACAACGAATTAAAGCAATAACTTAAAAATTACGGTAGGCTACTGTAAGTAACGACGGGTTACTGTATGTAGAGCGGTTACAGGAAGATACCATCTAATATAACTGAGGTTATAGTATTTTTAGTTGTATAGGCATATCAAAGGCCTGACGTAAGATGTGCAAGCTTAGTGCTGAGTCTAGACTTGACGACTGAATGCATCTCTGTAGTACTGAGGATTTCTTGTACTCAATTCAGAGCAGGAAGGGGGGTGGGGGGTTACGAATATTAGAAAGATCAAAACCACGTGGGCAGTAAGCATGAGAATCTGGTAATAGTACTCTGTAGCGATACATCTGCGCGATCGGTGCTTCTGCGCCATGTCTTTCGGCTTAGAACTACGTGTTTCGAATTAATGTCCAATGCTAACTCGGTAGCTCTAAGCCACTTATTCAAAGATCGGACAAATGTTTCGATCACTGTATCTTTCTTTAATTTTCATAAGGAGTGAATTTCGAATGTGTACGAATATTGCAGAGTCAAAAGGTTTCGTTGAAAATTCATACTTGGCCGGTCTGACGCCATCCGAGTTCTTTTTCCATGCGATGGGTGGCCGTGAAGGTCTTATTGATACAGCAGTGAAGACAGCCGAAACAGGTTACATCCAGCGTCGTCTAATCAAAGCTATGGAAAGTGTTATGGTCAATTATGATGGTACAGTACGTAACTCACTTGGACAGCTGGTACAGTTAAGGTGATAATTTTTGCTGCTTTCTGCAGGGTATTATTTCTTTCACGGGTAAGCATAATACACTGAAAAGTAGCGTGGATCTCGTGCTTGATGGATGAAACTTCACACTGGAGCCCTTCAAGAAACCCTTTGCGATTTAT